CTCCCCCTGCCCTGCCCGCCCCGCCGCCGGATGCCCAAAGCCCCTCGCCCCGCACCGGCTGGGCTGGAGGAGGAGGAGAAGAAGGAGGAGGAGACCGGGCGCTTTCACTCCTGCTGGCTGCTGAGGCTGAGGGAAAAGACAGAAAGAGGAGGGGAATAAAAAGTAAAGAGAGGGGGAGAGAGAGAGTGAAAGAAAACTAAGCCCAGTTTTTGCCGGTGCTGCTTGGATTGGATCTGGTTTGAGTTTCCTCTCTGCTGGCTTGTGCAGCAAGAGAGGAGGAGTGGGGGGAAGCAACTCACTCACTCTTCCTCTGAAGCTTAAGCAAACGTGCTAGTGACTGCACTGGTGGGAAGCTGCCCTGGGTGCAGTTGCCTCGTAGCTTATTGCTCTCAGTTACTAAAGAATTGCGTGGACTTTTCGAGGACCTGGAGGAACAAGCCGTCACTTCACAGACCCGATAGTTGCTCAGTGCCTATAGACTTGACGCATTTTTTTCCTAGGGGATTCTTTTTTTTTAATTATTTTTCTCCCGCGTCTCTGCGAACAGCAGTTCCTTGAGTGTGTGGCATTGAAATCCATTGCTTTGTTAACAACTTTGGGAGATATTTTTAAAAACTTTTTTCCCCTCTCTTTTGCTTTCTTTGTCTTAAAAAAAAAAAAAAAAAAAAGATAATCCTTTTGGGGGGAGGGGAGATGATCGTGCTGATGTGGAATAAGTGCTCCTCCTGTCTCCTCTTACTAGCCGCGGTCCTGATCGTGGAGAGCTCCCAGCTAGACAGCTCCAGCTCCAAGGTGAACTCCATCAAGTCCACCCTGATGGGGGAGGCTCCAACTCAGGCAACCAACAGATCTGCAGGCATCCACCAGGGACTGACGCTTGCTAGCAGTAAGAAGGGCAAAATGCTAGAGCAGATGGGAAAACCCCCCAAGCACTATCACCGGCAAGGAGAGGTAGGACATTGCTTCGTTGCTTGAGTGTCTGTCCGTCTGCGTGCTATATGCAAATAATTGCTCCCCTCACATTGTTTTCAAAGCCTTACTGTGTTAAATGAACTAATTTACTTCATCGGGGTTGTCTGGGACAATATCATGTCATAATTGGTGTTAAGAACTGTGTAAGTTGGAGTTGGAAGGTTTTAAACCTTTCATTTTTCTCTGTAGGGTTAATAACTGATGGAAGAAAGAGTAATTAAAAAAATACCATCTTCAGCATTTCTTTGACTCCTTCACAGGGCTGCTAGAAGTAAAGGAAGAAATTTCTTGTTAACTCTCAGACACTAAATGAATTGAATTTGAACAGGTGAGGAAAATTTGAGCATGAAGTGAAAACTGCATTTAGAGTGGTGAAACTAACTTGGTTTTACAAAACACACCTAGCAATTTGATCTCTGATATCTTTCTCTATGGTGAGAATAAAAAAGCATGCTGTCCCAGTGGTATAGTTTAAGGCACATTCATTTGCTTAATATGACAGAAAATAAATTCTAGGTTTCTTGTCCAAAATACGCTCTAGTGGTTGTGGAAGTTTTATTTGGTTATGTCCAGTTGAGATAAGAGCATCAGCCCTGAATATGAAGATTGAATGTGAGGAAGAAAGAAAAGATTATAGAAACTTTATGAAAGAAAGACCCTGACTTGCTTATGTAGTCTTTTTTCCTCTCTACCCTGCTTGGAAACTTGGAAGTCTGATGATAGAAAATTATCTGCATTCAACTATCTTTCTGGTAAACTATAAAGCAGCATTTTAAGCCATCAGTCCTCTATTTCCCTATCAAGTCTCAACTTGGATGGTATGAATGTTGTGCATTGTGGTGTCGAAGGAGGTAGACTTCTTCAGAAAATACAGATTTTATACTATTGGGTATTATTAATACCTCCAAATACAGCTGCTTTTCATAAACAACAAACAGCGTAGCAGCAAGGGAGCTGCCAACATTCAGCACTAAAAAGGCAAAATTCTCAATGCCTGAAGGGTCTGTATCTTGCCTATGTTTTCCTTAAAGCAGCAGAGAAGCTGCAAATTCAACCAATCCACTGAATTTGCTGAAGTGTTTTGCATCAACTTCCTAATAATTGAATGTTGCCATTTGGGTTTGCATGCAGGCATAACAACAGTGGCGGTAGTTTTGGGTTTTGCGTGTGAGAAATTTGTTTTTAACCTCCTCCAAGCTTTCTTCCCTTAGCCACTCAATTGTTTTATAATTTACTCAGAATTTGGTCGCCTCTCCTTACCTCTAAGCAAAGTTTAGTAACAGATGCTGTGCTGAAGTTTCATATTACTTAAGTACTGTGCTCTTTCCTCGTGCACATTGTAATAATTACTATGTTGAATCACCTTGAGGAAATACAGGAGCATGATACGCTTTCTTATAAGTTTTCCTTGGGTTTTCTTTTGTTTTCTGTGAATTCACAAAAAAATCACTATATAGAACCTATTTTCCCACTGAGTGTTATTTCAGTCTCATAAGTTTCAGCGCGGGCTGTGGGATTTGTGGGGCTGCCTTGTACAGCCCCAAACACGATCTATAATTTTGCCGTTTGGGGAAGTCTTGCCACCTTTCCCTGTGTCCAACATCTTTAGCACTTCAAGGTGTATTCAGTGCAATGTTGAGAATGATTGATTATAATTCACCCAGTTCCTGGAAAACAAGTTGCACTGCCTACCGGTTGCGTTCGCAAGGTTTACCCCTTTCTTGGCAACCTGGATTGTTTGCTGGGGACTTCTAGTTACTGGCATGAACTCGCAAGGTAGACTTAAAGTCAGAGACAACACAGGAATTATCTGTGATGGTAGAAGAGATGGCATGCACGTTAAGATGTTGTGTTCATAGCACATGCAAAGACCTCTGGAGAATCAGTGACTTTGGCTCCCAGGGAGCAAAGCCTGACCTCCCGTCGAGGGCTGTCGGTGCTGATTTCACCCTCTCTGTCTGCGACTCTGTCCCTGGCTCCTGCGTGGTCTCACGCAAATGTAGTTCATGAAAATGATGCAGATTTGCTACCAGTAATTGTAGATGTTACTTCCAGCTGTCTGCCTGAAGCAACACAATTAACCTAGAATTGCGAAGAAAAGAGAAAGTACTAACTTTTGCGATAATGCTTTATCTCTAGTGATACTTCCAGCTGCAGGGTTGGTAAGCCGCTGCATTTTTTAACAGTGGTGTCACACATTGCAACCAATTTAGACATGACATTTTCATAATTTTTTTTAAAGTACTCTCTTATTAGGTTAGTACTTGATTTGTTTAGATTATGGGACGTCGTGCTGAAGTTTTGCATGTCATGTGCTAAAAGAACAGGCCTATGCTTTTCTTTCTAAAACAGTCTGTTGCATTAGTGGAATTTATAATGGGTCAAAAGTGGGAGTACCTTTTATATCTTGGTAACATTAGATGGTGAGTTGAGTTTCTTGTTTACATCTAGGAACTAGTTTTAGTAAGGACCAAGGACATGCAACTTACAGGAAAATTAATAGAATTTTGCCGTTGTGACGGCTCTGAGCTGTGCATTCAACTTTCTGCAGGTATGTGTAGTGGAAATCAGAGGACTCTCACCAAAACTGAGGAAAGGACCATTAGCCAGCAACATATTTGCTTATTCAGCTTGGTAGACTAACACGCTTTCAGAACGTTTCTTTAATATGTTCATATAAATTTTCAGTTACGTTAATTCTCAGGACTAGGAGCAACTTGAGAGTCTTTAATCAGCAATAAATCAACGGATACAATAGTACATGGCTTATCTGGAGTGTTGATGTATTTCAGCTGGTAGTTACAGTGCTTCTGCCCAGAAAGGGAAGGTCTTGCGCTCCTTCCTCAGGCAAAGTTCCAGTGCAAATTAATGAAAATACTCACATGAGCAAAGCAAGCTGATCCGGCTTGCTGGAGGGACTGGCGAGGCAAATGTGAATTTTAGTAAGAGGTACATTTTTACGTCTTTCTGAGGAATATTTTTTATTTTCTGTTCTTATTCCCTTTACTGCCTTGGATCAGCAAGGAATGAGAAGCACTGACGTGCTAAATCGGTGAGATTTCACTGTCTTCACCGTTATTCAATGTCACTCCTGTTTTCCCCTTTCTACAAACTGTTAATGTTTTCCCAATTTCACAGAGAATCAGAAAGTATCTACAGCATTTGCCCAGGGGAAAAATATGCGCAGAAATAGGACCGTACAGTGCATGTTAGACAACATTACTTTTTGGGGGGTCAGTACTACATACTGTCTGCCATCAGTTTCTGTTCAAAACTTGATTTAGAGAAATGGCTTCTAGGAACAGCCGACACCTCAGTACTGTAGTCTCTCTAGGAAATTGTTCGGGACATACCACCTCTCTAAATAAATACAATACAGTGAATAGAGTCATAAATGAAAAAGGCAACATTGCAGATTAGCAACAATGATGGATGATTTTTTCTGCATGTTAGATACAGCTTCCACTGTGTTAGGGCAAGCTCTCCCACGTGAACGCTCTCGCTCAACTATAGCGATGCAACTTGAAAGGGAAAATCCCATGTGGGAAAGGGATAATCAAGCTGTGATTGAAAGGCATAGCTGTTCCATAGATTCCTGAATGATGGCTCTCTAGCCTCTGTAATTCACTTCACCATCTTTTTGACTTTTTGCCTCTGGGTTATAGTCTCCTCTCTCCTCTGAGGCTTGTCCCTTCCATCAGTGCTGGGGTTTGGACTCCTCCACATTCAACCGCCTTTAATGATCTGGTAAGCTGAGACCTACCAAACTTTATTTCCAGACGTTTTCCTTCTTTAATCCATGGGCACTATTATCTTCTGCCCTTTCCAAGTCCTGGCCACAAGCCATTGTTTGGGCTCTTTGCCCAGCAAGATGTGTCTCTCGTTCCCTTTGCTGCTGCACAGAGGGTTGGGTTTGTGCTTCGCGCTGGGACTGTCCCTCCCACTTCCCTCACGTGTGTGACGGGAGCAGCAGCAACGAAGGGAAGAACAAGAGAGGGGACTGGCACAACTGTGGGGTTGAATAAGAGATAAAGAGGTCTGGAAAAGGGAGAGAGGAGCAGAAAGCTGGGACAAGTTTTAACGCTGCAGAGCCACAATAGACAGATAACAGCTAAACCTTTGTATTCCAAATGTACTTTGTTTAATTTTAAAATGCCTTTTTTTTTTTTTTTTTTTTTTTTAACATTATCACAGCTTGAGCTAAGAGGCTTGAGACCACAGAAGCCAAACCAAAAGAGCATTAATCCAAAGAGCTAAGTTGACACTGATCTCATACCTATCAGTGCATGGACATACATGTGTTTCTTGAGCAGGACGTAGTTACCCACAAGGACTTGCTAGAAAATGCTTGGATGATGCTTTGTAGCAAGTAAAACAGCATGAGATGTAGTAATTGACTGCAGTGCCCTGAGAATGTTACAATAAAATGTACCAAAGACACCAAAAATGTAACCACAATATCTTGAATAGCTAGCAACCAAGACAGTATAAATTATTTCTCCATGGGATTAAAAATAAATGAATTACAGTACCTAGAAATTACATCCAGCAACAGCTTTTAGCACTTTTTTTTTTTTTTTTGGTGAAAAAATAAATACAGAATTGCTAAATCTGCAGAGGTCACCAGAGAATGTATTCTTTGCTCTTGCTGTTTGCTGTTAGGAATCTGGGAGACATAGTGGTTTACTGGCAGCAGTCTTGCTAAATAGCCGGGTGGCTTGTCTCTTGATTGCAAAAATGGGATGCAGAGTATTATGTCCTTCCTGGGTAATGCTTGGTGTCCCCTTCAATTTGTTGTTATTATTTGACTTCTTAATATAGAGTAAAAGCTGCTATAAAGTGGCTTTGCTACAACTATTTCCTATTAATGTTGCAACAATGCCTAGAAAACTTCCAGGACTCTGATGTGCTATTGGGTGTGCAAATACTTAGGAAGAGTTAGTTTCTGTCTGGGAAGTCTGTCAGAGTTTAAGGACAAC